TTTTATTTTAGATTAAATTTCAAAGGAAAATAATTTTATGATTTACCTTATACTACAGTCACCAGCGTTGCTGTAAAGGAGAATCTCTGATCACATTTTAAATCACATGTGGTTTCAACTTTGTTTACATTTTTTAAATTTATCTTTAAAAAGAAATGTCGGCAAATAGTGTTCTTGATGCATCTGTTCATGTGAAAGGTTTTCTGCCCTCCTCCTTTAGACCATTTCTTTTATCTTTTCAACTTTTCTCTTTTTGGCCAGTAGCCATAGGCAGTCAATATGATGCCTCCCAAGAACTTACACCATGGGGGATCAGTTTTTCTAGGCCAAGGTTTTAGGTATAGCCACAAAGTCTGTGAAGTTTTCACCTAGGCCTTTACTCAAAGCTCCTTTTGTAATCCTTCCTTCCTAATGACTACTGATAAGCACCTTTCTTTTGAGGTCTTTCTATGAAGACAATGTTTATACAGCCAAGACAGCAGATTGTTGATAAATCAAAGAATCCAAGTATTTCCCTTGGGATGGACTAAATGTATCATCTCTGGAACACAAGTGTTGCTCTGAGCTTTTGTTCTGTCAGTCATAAAGCAACTGTTTGTTACTGTTGGAGATTCCTCATACCTTTGTTTTAATGTTAATACTAAAAAGACTATCCATTTTCTGTTTATGAGCTGCTGCTGCCACCTATTTTTATAATACTGAAGAAAGTGTATGTCAGATTATATCCCTTTTTACTCTCAGCTATGTTATTAAGCCTTTATGTTTTCAGATTAATGGCAAAAATGAAATATTAGACCAGATTAAGGCAAGAAATTCACGCTGAAAATTTCAGCTTTTCTCTAAAGACTGCTACACATCTTCTGGGGGAGCTTTTAGGAAAATGGCAGCTTTTGATCTGAAGTGATTCTTTTAATTACGAAAGAAAAATGGGGAAAATAATGTAATGATCGAAGGACACAAATATGCCTCATAAATTAATCAAGCTTTTTAGGAAACTCTTACATCTATATTAATTTATGAGACTACTTCTCTTTTCAGATCCCTTGACGGTTGCTTGAGCACAATAATTTCAGTAAAAGCCTAACCACAACTTGCTGGACTGCATATACAAGCATAACTAAGTACAAGAACTGTTCATCTTTCCGGCAAGGAATTCTTCTAGATGAGCAATTCTGCTAATGTTGCAGCCTCTGACCTGATTTTGTTTCAGAAAAACTACAATTGTTTGATCCTTTTGCCACAGAAAGCTCTTTTTAATCATGTCATTTGTAGCAGTCGCATAAGAATTATTTTCAACTTTATACTCCTTCAAAGACATTACAGAATGGAATTGGCCGTGTACAGGAATTGTGCTGTGCAGGTCTTCTCTGGGGTCTGTGTGAACTCAGGAGTAATTACGTCACCTGAAGGACGTGGGACTGGTCCATCCGTCCTACTGCAAAAAAGGTGTTGCTTTTTCTCCCAAGCTATGCAAAGCGATCATCCTGCATAGTTTTGAATTCCTGTACTGTACTGTTTAGTTAAGTCCTGTGTTGCGTGTCTTTTGTTTCTTATGGCTCATAGTCAGCTGTGGAAAGAAATATCAAGTAATGTAACCACTTTCTTCCAAATCTTGGGCCAGAATCTCAGCTGGTGTAAGTCAGCAAAGCTCCACTGACATTATTAGTGCTCCAGTGATTCGCACCAGCTGTGGATCTAGTCTTCCATCTCAATTTATGAAGGGCTTGAACTAATGTCAGGAAATATGAAATGATCTCTTATAGTCAGCAGTTCTCCAGATGTGTTAATGGAGTTTAAGTTTACCAAAAGGCAAGACTTCAAAAAGTTATCCAACAGAAGAGTAAACTTTCAAGAAGAATGCCTTACTTGCAGGCTTTTTGGTGAGGGAGGGCAATACAACTCACTGCAATTTAAAGAAATCAACTTGGTTATACGGCAGAATATGGTAATACAGCTTCAGTGAGAATCCAAGATTTAAAATAATTTCACAGCACAAAGCAGGCTGTTGGCACATAATGAATAATTGCCATGCAAATATGAATCACCCAGCCTTAAAGCCAAAATTAGGTTGCTTATTGAACTCCACGTAAAGAGTCTAATGCCTCCACTTGGCAAGTGTGGTTGGGCTCATTCGCAGACACAGTATTACAGCTTTTGAGGATTAAATGAGGACCGTGTTGTTACAAGAACACAGAAGCTTAATAGTTCTAGCTGTGTAAAGTAAAAACTCACCAGTGATTTGGCTCTTCATATTGAAGTATTTTATACATCTGAACTACCGTATAGTGTTGAAAAAAGTCTACCCCGTAAGGATAAAACTGTTGTTGACATTACCATTTGTAAGCACTCTCAGGCTTACTTTTAGAAATTAGAAAATGCTGAAACAGGTGAAGACTCAGTCAACAAATCTGAGGTTACATAAGTATCTTAGTATTATGCCTATGTGCGCAGTACAGGACAATGAAAGATTCCTGAGCTACTCTAAAAAAGACTTCCAGTATCTGAAATAGTCTGTAGTGGTGCAGATGTCTTCACATCGTAATTTAAAGGCTGGTGAGACCATTTAGAATTAAGTAAAATGGTCTGTGTGCTACTCTACGCTGTGTCGTTCAGATATGTGCTCAATGGAGACGTACTGCTTTAGAGTGACCCTGAAAGGTGAAAGAACATTGTATCTTCAGTAAGTGAATGTGATATTCCGCACTTACTGCGTTGCGGTAACTGTACTTTAAAAGTGTAAGAACAAGTTGATTATTGGGAATCAGAATAGCTTTGAGTGATCTGATCCTGCTGGCCAGAGTTTATAGGCTGAAGGTCAGATTTTGGCAGGTTTGCTTTACAACTGTAAAAAAAGTCCAAGTGACTTTTGATGAGACTCATGTCTATCTAAATGTCACTGCATGTCAATCAAAAAGACAAAGTCCTTGGACGTGATTTATTCAGCCATGAAGGAAGGCATTTTGAAGAATTTCCAGTGATAGCTCGTAAGATCTCCAGAGGAATAGGTGATCATAATCTGAAAATACAAGCATGTTGTATTTAAAGTGGTTTACAGAACTGGAGTGATAAATAGAGTGGTGAAGAAACCCTTGTGAATATTGGAGAGCTGTTAGGAAGTCACAGCATCTAAGATGCAGAACTTACTGGGCTTTTGCAGATTCCTTAGGAGCATGGGGGGTGCCACCTCTATGTGAAAATCGTTCCCAGGTCCACAGCAGAAAGCATTATACTGAGAGCACTGAACCTGCAAGTGTTTCATAGCTTCTGTCAGAAAACTTGAAGCCTAAGAAGCTAAGAATCAGATAGTGGCTGGGGCCTTAGAAAGCTTATTACATTTTGGAGATTGCAGTGCTTCTAAAGCAACTTCTATTCCCCAGAGTTTTATAGTTAGAAAGGAATTGTGGAAAAGTTGATTGTGAATCTGTATGAAACCAAATTTCAAAACAGTGATCAGAAATCTTGAATTTGACTCACTCTGTTTGCAATTATGGAGCAGATGAAAGCAAGTGCTTGAGTTAGTCTGGAAATTGGGATTGCTTTTGATTATCTCATTACACTAAGCCCTTATATGGCAGCATTTGAGAGTAGCACTTCCCATCACTTCTATCTAGTTCTTCTGTTCCTGGTAGATGTTGTGGTGGCCTTGATATATAAGAATTTTTCATGATCTGTCTGGACTACACGAACGGAACTTAGGCATGAAGCCGTCAACCCTTAGGAAATTACAACTAGTCCAGAATCCTACAATACAGGCAGCTAAAAACACATCAGGTCTGTTTTCTACTTCCTATACTGTTTTCCCACAGAATACCAAGTCAAGATCAACAAATTCGTTCCTATTTTCAAAGCAGCTGGTTGTCTAGGCCCAGAATATCATGTCCTCAAGAACTCCAATATCTGTGTTCAGTAATGCTTCTCCTAAAGCTCACAAAAATAAATATGTCTGTGCAGCCTTCAAAGACTTTTTTGGGATCCAGTCTATAAATATAAAATTAATTCCCATAGGGGCTGGAAGCTATGGCAAAAGTCACAGTCTTCTGAATTGCAATATGCCTTTCCTTGTCTTGCCTTTCCAAGCAGAAACACAGAGCCATCTTCATCAGAATCCTACCGGAGTGAGAAGAGAAACAGTGAATATGAGCTCTTGGCAGATGCTAAGATCTCATATAACAGAGAGATGTTCAAACAATCTATGATGATAAGGGCAGCCAAATAAGTGCTCTATAGGACTAAATGATGCAGAGTAGCATGTTATTCCATACAGCTGATGTCTGATTCTGGCCTAAAGTTTTCAGATAGGACTTTGTAGCGTCCAGTTATCTGAGATAACCCTACATCTTGGCGCATGTATATCAGTGCGTGACAAGTGCTTTTATTTGCATATGGTTATAGCAAATGTAATTATAGCATATGCAAGTGGAGGGCAGGGATTTGTAAGTCTAAAAGTTGTGAGCGTGTATTATGGAAGGATTCTCGTTTGCCTTTGTTTCTTCTGCTCTGTTGTTTGGAGAGAAGCTTGTACCTTTGGGGCATGTGCCTCTGGGACAAATTAGTATAGCTCTTCATATGCCTTCATGCCAAGCTGATGTACAACAGACATACATTTAGCACCAGGACAAAGAGAAAGAGCAGTTAACAGAGCATCATCCTATGTAGTAGCAAAAGACCAGATCCTTTTCATGTTTTCTGTGTTTGTCCTACTCTCCGTAGCGCTCTCTGTGGAAACTGTGGGTGCAATGGTCATTCTCAGGGTTCTGAAAGTTGTAAAAAAAAATAGCTGGAGCCCGGACATTTATAAACTGAATTTCATCTATTTGTTTTGCCATTGCCATCTCATCAGGTAATTAGGTCTTACAAAGAGCACTTTTCTCTTGTATGTAACCTTAACAAAAAGCTCAAAATACGCTATTAAATGGTTACCTTGACTGTGTTTATGTTTGATTTGTTTATATTTGTATCTAAATTTATTTCAAATCAATGTCTTTGCTTTATATTTCCAGACCTGATCTTGCCTCACAGAAGACATCAGGCAAGCATTCCCCGGATGTGATGTCTCTGGAAACACTGGAAAACACTTGTGAGCCAGAGGACCTCTTTGATGACATCTAACTATGTGTTAGCTGAGAAACTGAGATAATAGAGCTCCTACTAGACACAAGCTATAAAACTTAGAAGGCTTAGTTGTAGGCACTGAGCTGAAATCTTTACTGTAAGGTTGTATTTGACGTGTGTGCATTCTTCAGTCCACTGTTGCAGACCCTTGACCTGCTGAGGCTTGATTTGTGACAGCCTTGAAATCAGTTCAGCCTCTGTGTAGATCCTTTATAACATGAATATGGGGAAAGAGAGCATCACCACAGCATTTTTACATCCTAGCAGTCTTTGGCTGCTGATTATATTCAGGTTCAACTGGTTTCCAGATGTCACCAGAGAATATGTCAGACTTGAAGAAGATTTAAAGCTACCACTGTACTTACCTTATATACTACCCCTTTCTTGAGAAGCTCAGCTTAGATGCAGTCTAGCTAAATCATCTTCAGTTTTGATTGAGATGTCTTCAAAAGCTGAATTTAAAATGGTATTATCTGAAATGAAGAATCCAAAGAAATGTCATTTTGCTTGTTACTTGAAGATGCTCTGAGGCATTATGCATTCTAAGGTGCGTGCTTGCTTCTGGGAGTAAAATGCTTATGAAGTCAATAATGAGTCTATTTTAACCTTCTGTAGAAACTCATAGCCCTTAAAATGGTTATTTTTGATGTTTCATTGATTTTTCTTAAGGTGATTTCTAAAATAATAAATGCATTCTAAGTCATCGATTTTGTTTTTATTTTATTTGCTTAGATGCTTTATGTGTAAAGGGACTAGTTAGCAAAGTGTGTTAATGCCTGACCTCTTCCTGCCTGAAACTGGTGCATTCATTTATATTGCGGATTTAAGGCCTTGTCAGAGGAAAAGTTACGAAAATGTGTTTATCTTCAGTGGTCAAAATCAAGTGTGTAGAACTAAGCACGTATGTCAAGTTTCTGCTATGTGATTTTAAAAGCCTGAGTCGATTCTCATGTAAGGCAATAGGAACCAGTTCCTCCATGCCAGAAAGGATGCAATCCAACAAGAGTTTTAAACGTGAGTGATCTCATTGAAGTTAGCAGGACTATGCAACATGGTATTACTTCTGTGCTCTATGGTTTGCAACAATCCCTGGAAATTACTTGATATTTTTGAAATGTCAGCTTATTTAGGCCCTGATTCTGCCAACATTTAAACCTGTACTTAACTAAAAGCACCTGTGTCAGTATTTGCAGGATTGGGGCCTCTTCTAAGAACCTAAATAAGGATCTGGGAATATTAAATTTAAACATTCCTTTCTGGAAAACATGGTCACAGCATTTTAAATTCACAAAGGGCTTTGCGACAATGTTATAAATCACACAGTAAAAACATAAATGGCCAAAATATTGCTACAAAGGCTTTGTGCCTGGGAAATGACAGGACCACAAAAGACCTATTCATACAACCGTTCATAGACACTGCCTGATTTAAAATCTTCCAGTGCTGATCTGACAATGCTTTCAGCAAAAGCTTGTATATAGTTTCAATTTTAATGTGAAAATATTCCATGACTTGACCCGAAATAAAAGGGCTTGGTTTGATTGTGCCCGCAGCAGAAAATGAAGGTAAATGGAGCTGAAAATCCTGGAAAACTCTGCTTTCAAGAAACTGTTGGTTTCTAACAATAAAATGTTATTACATAAATAGCAAATGTTACACTCAGTTGGCATATGTAGTAAATCCTGAAGGAATGTTTATTCTTTTCTCTTTTTTTAAGGTTTATAGAATCAAGCCAAGAATTGAGCAGCAGATGATGTGATGGTGGGCTTACCTTGAACTATGTGAGCACAGGTGTGTCATCTAGTAAGGGTAGCCATGGTACTGAGCCTGGCTGCTAGTCCGCTGAGACTGCTTATGTATACTGGAACACCTCCTCTCTCCTTGAAGTCCACTGGTAACATGTCAGTCTCAGTGTTAGTGAAATGCTCCTTTCTGATGAATTTATGTGAGAAGCTAGTGCTGTCCTGCCAATAGGTTCTATTTTCCAGTTGACTTTGAACAGGAAAGGCCCACCAATTCTAATGCCAAAATGAGCACAAATTATGTGTGAGAGCAGGGGTGGTGTTGCCAAGGCCACAGAAAATCAGTGATACATCATTATGGTGCGTATTTGTCCGTAAGCTATGGGGACATCCATTTTATCCTCAAAGTCATCCGTCCCATTGCATTGAAATGTAGGCCTTCATTGGCCATGCCCAGCAAAATCTGTTTCAAACTGACCTGTGATGCTTCGGAAGGGACTTTGGTAGTAATGCCTCGTCAAATATGCTTCTAGGTAAAGTCCCAGTGAAAAGCTGGGAGCTTTGCTACCCGTGTGCTCTCCAAAGCTTGCAGAGTAGAAGGGTTTCTTTGTGAGTCTATGGATAGTGCTGCTATTCATAAATCTCATATAATGTTCACTGTTTTCACAATAGCGTAACATCTGATAGTTTACATTCATTTTGTGATCCACCATAATCCTCAGATTCTTTTGTGCAGAGTTAGTAGGTAGTCACTTGTTTTTCCATTTTGCATTTGTACAGCTCACTGTTCCCTTAAGAGTTTTAATACCTTGCGGACTTGCACTCTACTTTTGTAGCAGATTTCTCCAGTTGGTCAAGATAATTTTGAATGTTAATTTTGTCTCAGTTTGGTATTGTGGGCAAGCATAGTAAGCAATTCCATGCTAACATCCAGACCATTAATGAAAATATTGAATATTTCTGGACTTTAGCCTGACTCTATTCATCCTTCCATTTTGATAGCAGAGTTACTTTGTGAGTATGATTTTCTAACTTACCTTTCAGGAGACCATGTTTTCCAGGCATGCCTATAAAATTATCACATGAAATAGCCTGACGTGAGATATCAATCAACTGCTTTTTCCCTGTCCAAAATATTTTAGTAATGATGGAAGAAAAAATAGAGAAACATACCCACAAATGGTTTTTCAAGGCAAGAAATTAACCAAAGTTAAGAAATGCAGATCAAATTTCAAAGGCCATCCTTAATTAATACTTCTCTTTGATATTACTCTGCAAATGATTTCATAGGTAATTTTTTTTTTTAGTTTAAACTGTACTTTAGGGGAAAATAAAATGTGTAATCATTTTACAGTAGGAAAAACACGCTATCTTTCATTAAAAGTTTAGACTTCTCTAGAGTTTTATACTTTTAAAGTAACTATTTAAGCAGAGCATATTTTTTTGCATAACAGTTTGTCATTTGAAGTCTAGGTTTATCCAACAAATCTTTAAGTTCAAAAAGATTTACAGAATTTTTTTCAAAAAGAGAGGAAAAGAGAAATCTAGGAAATCTGGGAAAAAATATTTTTCTGAGGAAGTGCTGTATGAAGTATTGCCCTTAGGGTGGAAATATTACTTTGATTTTTGAGACAATGTTTTAGCCATCTATATCACTATTTTAGCTACTTTCTCACTGTGATTTTCAAAAGTGAACTCATATGTATATGCATGTGTATTAGACGTGTTATTCTTCCTTGCTTTGTATTTGTAACATATAAATGATTTGTGTGTATAAATGTGATTCCCTGGAAATGTTTAGTGTACTCTAGCTGGCTTTGACAGTTTCTGCATTTTGCTGTAGCAGCCCAGAGGTACTTGAAGAAAAAAAAAAAAGCCTTTACACATGGGAATTCAGATGCTGCTAAATGTTTAAGATAAACCAGCTTTTTTATGGCGTGCCATCTGCTTTGTGGGAAGAATAAAATGTGGAAAGAGGGAAGAAAGAATGGTAGGAAAGCAAGTCAATAAAAGCATGTTCAGACTGCTCAGAGGCCTAAGGTAGTATGTTTGAACGTCTGAGCAAAACTAAGTTTAAAAAAAAAATGATGCCAGGAACTTGTTATTCCACTAAAAGAGGAGCAGCTAGGAGAAGCTCCTTATCTTCTGGAAACCCCCTTCTGTTCCCACTTGTCTACAGTACTACACCAATCCTCTCATCAGGGGTTGTAACCACTTTTCCTCATAACTATATTTCTGCTTTCATTTTATTCCAGTTCCCTTCACAGTGTCTGAGCTCTCCTCAAGTCTTTTTTCCTAAATTTTGCTGTGGCAGTCTTCTGTCTTCCTCTGCTTTGTTTCTTCTCGATATGATGTTTGACAGCATCTGAACTTTCATCCCTCTCTGTGGCCATTAAATGATTGCTCTTCTATTATAATTGCATTCCAAAGTCAATTTCATTCATAAAGCCTATCAGTATTAATCTGCTAGCGTGAGGAAAACGAATATCTGGATCTAATTTTTAAAATTGGTAGTACTAACAGGGAAAATACTGAGCTGAAGGGAGATTAGCTGTGGAGGTCCTTAGGATGAGTCTTGGGACCAGTCTCATTCAACATTTGCGTTAATGGCTTTCTCACAAAAAGCAGGAACTGCAATGAAATCTATTGATGACGTAGCTGGGAAGCCTTCTGAGAAAGAGTTGCTTCTTTTTTGAAGTTATAGTGGCCACCACCTTTAAACACTGCATGGGTAAGGCACATGAGTCAGAAAATACTGATGGGTGTCGTGTTGTGGAGATTTGCATGTCTGTACAGGGAGGCCAAAAAACACAAGGAAAAAACAATAAAGAAGCAAAAAAACAAGGGCATGGTTGGAATAAGTCTGGGAGTGCAGGCTAAGAAAAGGAGGGAGAGGGCATGTGAGAGACAGTAAGAAAGAGAGCTAGAGAGAGAGGAGAGAAAAAAAAAAGATTACTTTTGGGCTAAGTACTGACTGGAAAAGGGGATGAGGACTGAGTAAAGATACTTGACCCTGTTTAATTCATTCTCTTGGGGAAACAGGATTACATGAGACACCTGACCGCTGTCTGATCTTGAATTGTCTGTTAATCCCAGAGGGTGGTCAGAAGGAGTAACAATGACCAGAAACTGCCGTTTACCAGAATTCTCAGGTCTCGTCAAATGGCTATAAGCAACCGTAGTATCATCTGAGGTGAGTTATTTACTAATGCCCTGGGGAAAAAGATTAAGCATACTCATTCTCAGATTATTTACTGGGAGGAAAGGATAGCTCTGTTTTGTTTTTTATGGCTCAATTTGTTTTGTGCAGAAATACACATCTGGAAAAGATTTTGCCATCATACTTACAGTATCACAGACTCACAGAACGGCTGAGATGGAAAGGGATCTCTGGACTTTGCCTAGTCCAACTCCTCTGCTCAAAGCAG